AGGTCAGTCCCCAGTCACGTCTGGCTCTTCCCCCAGGCCTCCCTGTCCATGTATTTACCTTAGACTCTGTCTTTCTTCAGGTCAGTTTGCTTAAGAACCGACTTGACAAACCAGTCTGTTTTACTCAACAAACCAGTATGTTTTGCTCATGCAAATGTTCTCTTTAGCTATGTTAATGAGACTATGTTATTCCTTGGAAAACCGCCTTTCTCCAAGACATATGTCAATCGTTTTATGGCCCAGGATGACTCACCTTGTGCCCATGTTATCTCAAAATGCATGTTGTGGGTGAGGAGCCTGGCGCCACTGTCTGAGTTTTGAGACACTTCCTTTCTCTAACTAGCATCCTGCTAGTAGGTATGTAACTTCCTGCTAAAGGCTAGCAGGGAGGCACTCTTTCTGCCTGCTTCTGATGTCTATGCCAGAAGCTTTCTTTATCTCTTTTATAAAACTTTATTACCCAAAACCTCTGAGTGATCAAGCCTCGTCTGCTTTTGAACTGTGGTATTGGAGAAGACTCTTGAGAGTCCCTTGGACTGCAAGGAGATCAACCCAGTCCATCCTAAAGGAAATCAACCCTGAATAGTCATTGGAAGGACTGATGCTGAAGCTGAAGCTATAATACTTTGGTCATGTGAACTGAAGATCCAGCTCACTGGAAAAGACCTTGATGACAGAAGAAACTGAAAGCAAATGAAGAAGGGGGCAGCAGAGGATGAGATGGTTGGGCAGTATCACTGAGTCAGTGGACATGAGTTTGAGCAAGCTCCGGGAGAGAGTGACGGACAGGGAAGCCTGACGGGCTGCAGGCCATGGGGTTGCAGAGTCGGACACGACTGAGGGACCGAACAGCAACAACACGTGACATGTCCAGGATGGGAAAATCCAGAGACAGAGGGAGGTTAGTGGTCACCAGGACTGCGAGGCGGCGGCAGGAGGGAGGAGTGCCAGCTCGGTGGGCACAAAGCTCCTTTTTGTGGGGATGAAAAGGTACTAAGCTCGACAGTGACAGCAGCAGGACTGTGAATGTACTAAAAGCCACCAGACTGGACATGCTCAAAGGGCGAAAGCTTCACGGTATGTGACTTGTACGTCAATGAAGCTATTATTGAAAAGTACATTCGGGGCTTCCCCGGTGGCTCAGTGGTAAAGAATCCGTCTGCCAAAGCAGGAGACAGGGGTTCAATCCCTGATTCGGGAAGACCCCACATGCTGTCTGATTCGGGAAGACCCCACATGCCGTGGGGCCGCTAAGCCCGTGTGTCACAGCTACTGAGCCTGTGCTCTAGAGCCGGGGAGCCGCAACTACGGAACCCGTGTGCCCTAGAGCCGGTGCCCTGCAACAAGAGATGCCACCGCAGTGAGAAGCCCGCGCACGGCAACGAAGAACAGCCCCCCTCGCCACAACTAGAGAAAGCCTGTGCGAAGTATCAAAGGCCCGTGTAGCCAAACAGAAACACACAGGCTCTGATATCGGGTAACTCCAACTAAATGCTCAAGATCTGAGTGACATACTTTAGACTCCTGGCCTCTGAGACCTTTATTCCAAGGACACCCTGGCCCTCCTCTCCTGTCCCACTCCTTCCCCACGCTTTCCCTGCCCTGAAATCTTCTTTTCAGAGACAGCCTACTTATCCTACCCTAACTAACTGGAAAATCTGGTCCCTTCCAAGGAAAGTTTTTTGTTGACATACTTACTCCTCCAGGCAGGAGTAACTGTTCTCTCAGCACCTAATATACAAACGTCTAAAACGTTTTCGCTGATACTAGAGTTCAGTAGTCACGTCTCTACTGCACACACTGTGAGCTCATCTCGTTAAGTTTTGTATTCAGTTATGAGCACAGTGCCCTGCTAGCGAGTTTCCAAAAGATGTTCAGTAAAGGCTTTCTTTTTTGCAAAACTAGACAAACATTTTATAAACAATGTATAAAATGATACTGTCACATATAATTATCTGGTTGAATCTTTTATTACTGCGATGTTGATGAATAAAACCAGTGAGTCCAAGAAGAGAATTAATTGGGCATTCCTCATCGCATTGCTTCCCTGGTTGGCTCAGAGGGTAAAGCGTCTGCCTGCAATGCGGGAGACCCAGGTTCAATCCCTGGGCTGGGAAGATCCCCTGGAAAAGGAAATGGCAACTCACTTCAGTATTCTTGCCTGGAAAATCCCACGGACGGAGAAGCCTGGTAGGCTACAATCCATGGGGTCACAAAGAGTTGGGACACGACTGAGCGACTTCACTTTCTTTTTTTTCATCGCATCCCTAAAACAAGTTGGTACTTTTCCATATGGGATGTAGAAGTTTGTATCTTTATTACTGAACATCTGTAAATGTACTAAGAATCAACTGTGCAAATCAGCACACGACCTTTATGCAGGTATGTGGATATCCTTTGATATTCATATTTATTCACACACACTTTTCACAGTAAAGTAAAATAACATAGGCAAGACAATGATTTTTGTTGCTAGGAGGTCTGCTGATAAGCATTCTTTTTTAAAAACATAGTCCTATTTCAAGTTTTTTGAAGAAAAAGAATAACCCTTTTCTAAGATAGGGGTTGCAAACTCCAATACCAATAAGAGTCATCAACTGAAAAGCATCTTCAAAACAGAGCACCATCACTTAAGAGTATCTTTTGGCAAAAAAGCAACAGCAGTGTTTGTCTGCAGGAAGGGAACTGGGTGGTAAGGGACAGGTGTAGAAGGAAGGTTTCCTGTCCACACAGTGTTTTTATGCCTTTAAAACCTTGTATCAAGCACATTATTTAATCTATAAAATTGGCTTTTTGGCTCCAGCTAACTATCACTATTAAGGAGTGCAGGCCTGGGGTTGCCAGATCGGATCTTTCAAAGAAGTTGGAAATGGGAAAACTCACATTTTTATGTAAAATTCATAATTTTTAAAACGTTGGCTTCATTCAGGATTTAACACATGGGCGGCCAAACAAAACACATGTGTAAGCCATATCTGGTCCCAGCCCAACCAGTTTACCATCTCTAATCTAAAACCTATGTGTGGCTTATGATTGCAGAACTATAAATGTACTTTAATGGAGGAAAACTTCAAAAAGAAAACTCAAGACTTGTGGATGAGATCACTCCCCCTTCCTGCCCTACCATCTCACTGCTGTTGCTTTCTTAAACTGCCCCTTCTCCTGGGTCTTTGAAAAGGCAACTAATGTTTGACCGACTAAAACGCAAAACAAGCCACGTTTGATCAACGAATCTACCCTTTATCCTAGCATCCGGTCTGTTTTAAAAGAGTGAAACATGGTAGGCAGAGGCGATGGGGTCAATATCAAGTTGCAATTCTTCTAGGCAACCAAACAGAAGTATGTGAATTATTTCTAGGTGGGTGGAAAAATTCCCCCTGCCAACTAGTCAAATGCCTGCGTGGTTCAAAAGACCTGTAAGTTTTTGTCCCTCACCATCAGCCCTGCTCAGGAGACAAAATGCAGCCTTGATCAATGTAACATTCTGAACCTTCTCCTGGAAGCCAATCACAGCTCTGGGGGAAATCTCACCGTCTCTTAAAGGCCTGAAGAGATGCCAGTTACCTGCTGAGAACAAGGCTACGAGATTCTGTGTGGGCCTGATCACAGTCACAAGTGGAAGACTGCATCTGCTGGATGCCCAGAGGACACCAGGGCAAGACAAGGGAGAGTTGCTTTTGGTTCTACGACAAGCACGAGAGAAGTCCCATCACGCCTCTGTGGTGAGGTGAACACTCTTACTTCCATTTGCTGAGAACTTCGCAAGATTTCACTTTGGTATTTCTGTGTGGTTTTCCTATACCCAGTGCTGGGTCCACTCTTATCAACAGCAGTCTTTTCACCACCAGCTAGTCTGGTGTTCGGCCTGACCACCACTCACTGACCCCTGGGGCCTCCCCCAATAGTGAGGATACACAACCCCAGACGGTAATCAATGAACAGGACTAGGGGGTTGAAGGTAACTCTGCAAATGTCCTACAACTGAAGGACACAGGCTCCCAGGCTTTGGTGTGGCTCGGGGAAACGCTATGACGGGCCACGTTTTCCTAAGAGCTTCTTTACCCAGGTTACTGTGGGGGAGGGCTGGGTTGGGGGGATGTGTTGATTTAATCTCATTCATCCATTCTGAGGGCTTCCCTGGTGGCTCAGATGGTAAAGGATCCGCCTGCAATGCAGGAGACCTGGGCTCGGTCCCTGTGTCGGGAAGATACCCTGGAGAAGGGAATGGCAACCCACTCCAGTATTCTCGCCTGGAGAATCACAAGGACAGAGGAGCCTGGTGGGCTACAGTCTATGGGTTCACAGAGTCAGACACGACTGAGTGACTAAGCATCACCCTCGAGGAACTGTCTCGCTAAGTGACTGGGCAGTGCCACACATATGCAGCATACTCTTTGCTGAGAACAGCGAGCATTTGGAAAAGCAAAATGATCATCTACCCTGTAATCCCAGTCTTTAAAAAACAAACAAACCATGATTGTAGCAACCCAGGAAATTAAGATTTGCAAAATACTCTAAATGGCAAGCAAAACAAAACTCTCTTAGGTTGTAACTGAGGAAGCCACTTCATGGTGGGCTTCAGGGGCCCAAGAAGACAGACTCACTTGTGAAATAAAAACCAGGCATGTTCTTGCTGAACATGGCCTGAGTCCAGTGTCTTCCCTGACTTGCATTTTGATGTATGGACATCACAGCCAACTCTGCAACGGTCACAGGCATGCTGCTCGATAGAAAGAACCTGGGTGCTTGGAAGTCGATAACCCGCAGTTTCTTCATCAGCAGTTTTGTGCATTTGGCACCCACCACACAACAACCTGCACACAGCAGCATCCAGCAACTGCAAAAGGCTCATTTACTGATGACTAGCAGACTGACTTAGCAGTTTGGTTCTAAGGAAAACATTCATAATTAACCGCTTCCTTCCTTTTCTGTAAATCTGAATACCAAACAGGTTTTAGACACATCTGTCTTCTGAACAAGATGCTTGTCTTAAGTCTTACCTCAGCAGCCTGGGTCTCTTGATGCAGCAACGTAAGACCGGTCAAGTCCTCTAAGAAGGAATGTGAAGAATTAAACACCTTCGCCAGGAAATTAAATCCTTCTCGTTCATACTGATCGAGAACCTGTAAAGACATTTATGAGTGAAAGTGTTACTCACTCAGATGTTTCCAACTCTTTTTACCCCATGGACCATAGCCTTCCAGGCTCCTCTGTCCATGGAATTCTCCAAGCAAGAATACTGGAGTGAGTAGCCATTCCCTTCTCCAGGAGATCGTCCTGACGCAGGGATTGAACCGGGGTCTCCTGCATTGCATGTGGATTCTTTACTGTTAAGGTCACCATGGAAATATATTTTATATATATATATATATGTTAAGGGGGAGGTGGGATTTAAATGCATATTAAAAGATTTTTACTTCTAATCATTACCTGCCAAAAATGGAACTAAAACAAGAATTAAAAATTAAATATGGGAAAAATCAATCTGTTAGGCCAAAAACAGTGAGGGTTTAGTATTTATGATTTTCTCTTTCTTAGAAAGAACGACAATACCATCTTCCAATTCAGATGACAGTAGTTGTCAGACAAAATAAGTTACAAGCAAATGCACTAACAATTCCAGTAGGAGAGCAGAGGTTGCTGACCCTAAGGTTCACTTTTAAGGAGGAAAGTAACGGGCAATTCCTTCCTGGTGCACGGACAGACGGATGGATGGAGAGACTGTGGTACAGACACACCCTGCGACACCAGCCATGAAAGCGGACGGGTGTGAGTCGGCTGAGGCTGGGCGGATGAGCCCAGAGCTTGTTGCACGGGGCGGAGTGAGTGGGAAAACACACCCTGGACACTAAGGTGTGCACATGAACGCTAGAGGAACGGCACTGATGGACCCGTGCACAGGACAGGAGCAGAGACACAGACGGCAAGAGTGGTCCGTGGACACAGCGGGGGGGAAAGGGTGTGACGCGTTGAGAGCGCAGCGCTGCCACATGTGCGCTGCCGTGTGTCCGACAGGCAGCCAGTGGGGGCTGCTGCACAACACAAGCCTAGCTGGCGCTCTGTGATGACCCAGAGCGGCAGGAGGAGGGTGCTGGTGAGAGGGAGGCTCCAGAGAGAGGTGATACATGTATATTTACAGCTGATTCACATTGCTGCATGGCAGAAACACAACACTGTAAAGCAATTATCCTCCAATTAAAAATAAATGAATAAAAGAACAAACAAACAAAACTATAGGCAAGAGAAGAGCCAAGGAAAAATTTTTTTAAGGATAAAGGGAAAGGAAGGGACAAAACGTGGGAAATGAGACCCACCAGTTAGTCAAATGCATTAAAAATGATTTTTTTTAATGTAAAAATGAATTTCACCAGGCATAACACAAAAAAGTTGCCCAAACAGTCAATAAACAAATGAAAAGTTGCTCAACATTACAAGTGACAACTAAAAACCACAATGAACGACTACTTTATACCTACCAGAGTGGCTAAGATGAACAAGACAAAAAATACCAAGTACTCACAAGGATATGGAACAACCATCATTCTCATGGGAAGACACAATGAGATAACCATCTTAGACGTTTAATATTTATATGCCATGTGATCAAGAGATTCTTAAAGAAGGCTGAGCGCCAAAGAATCAATACTTTTGAACTGTAGTGTTGGAGAACACTCTTGACAGTCCCTTGGACTGCAAGGTCCAACCAGTCCATCCTAAAGGAGATCAGGCCTGAATATTCATTGGAGGGACTGATGCTGAATCTGAAGCTCCAATACTTTGGTCACCTGAAGCGAAGAGCTGACTCATTTGAAAAGATTCTGATGCTGGGAAAGATTGAGGGCAGGAGAAGAAGGGGACGGCAGATGGTTGGATGGCATCACAGACTCAATGGACATGAGTTTGAGCAAGCTCTGGGAGATGGTGAAGGACAGGGAAGCCTGGTGTGTCCATGGGGTTGCAAAGAGTCGGACAGGACTGAGCGACTGAACAACACTAACAAACAAAAAAATGTGCACAGAGGTGCATCAGAAGACCTGAACAAAAGTGTCCACAGCAGCACCATTCATGACAGCCCCAACGAGGAACTACCCAAGTGTCCATCAACAGTAGACTGAATTAACAAATTGTGGCTTATTCATGCCATGGAATAACACACAGACATGAAAACGTATGACAACTACCAACAACAATATAGATAATTCTCACAAACAACATTAAACAAGAGGGAGAAGCAGTATATACTACAGGATTACAACAATATAAAGTTTCAAAAAATGAACCTGTGCTGTTAGAAGTCAGGAGTGTGGTTATGCAGTGAAGGACTGTAATTGGAATAGGGCACAGGGGAGGGTCTGAGGTGCTGGTAACTTTATCTCTTTTATCTGGGTTCTGGTTACAAAGGCACACCTGTTGAAAAACCATCAGGCACTTTTTCATATATACATTGTCCTTTGATCAAAAGATCAAAAGAGGGACTTCCCTGGTGACCTGCCCACCAGTGCAGGGGACAAGGGTGTGATCCCCGGTCCAAGAAGGTCCCACATGACACAGAGCAGCTAAGCCTGTGCCCCACAGCTGTGAACCTGCGCGCCCCAACTGCTGAGCCCCCGCGCCCTAGAGCCTCCGCAACGAGAGGCCAGCACAGTGAGAAGCGCGAGCACCGCATCTGAGTACCCCCGTTCGCTGCGACTAGCGGAGCTCACACAGAGCCACCACGACCCAGCGCAGCCAGTAGCAAAGAGGTAACTGATGCCAAAAACACCAAAAGATATGAGGCCGGCAGTCTTTTGAGAAGAAGAATATAAGAACATGACTACTGAAAAGTGATTACCACACTTAGGAATTCAATGACCACAGAAACCGTGAATTACAGAAGGCACACAGTGAACCAGAATGTCTTGGAAATTCTCTCAAAACTCAGAGGAAATAAAGAGACAACTGCTTCAAATACACAGCAGACACTGATGATACATCCCAGCAATCAACACTTGAATGGGAAGGTTGCAAAAGTAATGACACAAAATACAGAAAAAAGAATTTAAAAAAATTTCTCCATGCAGAAATGAAAATGTGTAAGTCCTTCAATCCAGCAATTCCACTTCAAAGACTTTTCAAAGAATTTTTGCTGTTGTTGAGGCTTGCGGAATTGTGATCCCCTCCTCCTTCCCAATATTCTTTAATATTGAGAGGGTAACAGGCAGGAAGGCCAGGGTTCTCCAAACAGAGGAAACAGGCTACAAGTGTCAGACAGTTTTTATCTCTCTCTTAAGTGGCAGGAGGAAACAAACTACTAGTGTTGTATTTTTTCCCCTTCACTATACAAATTTAAAAAGAGGTTTCTTTTAAAATTCTGTGTTGCCATGATGATACCTGGTTCCACCTGAACTTTTTTCAAACCTCGAGCTAACCAATGTATTTTTCTTATGGAAATGTTTGTCTTAAGCTATGTTAACGAACTATGTATTTACCCTAGACTCTGTCTTCAAATAGATTTTGACAAACCAATATGTTTTACTCATGCAAATGTTCTCTTAAGCTATGTTAATGAGACTGTATTTGCTTGGAAACCTACCTTTCTTCAAGATTCATGTCAATCATTTTATGGCCCAGGACAACTCACCTTGTGTCAGTGTTATCTCAAAATGCATGTTGTGGGTGAGGGGCCTGGTGCCACTCTCTGAGTTTTGAGACGTTTCCTTTCTCTAATGAGCAGACTGCTAGTAGCTATATAACATCTGGCCAAAGACTAGCAGGGGGCACTCTTTCTGCCCCCTTCTGATGTCTATGTCAGAAGCTTTCTCTAACTCTTTCATACTTTAATAAAACTATTACACAAAAGCTCCGAGTGATCAAGTCTCGTCACTGGCCCCCGACTGAATTCCTCTCCTCCAGAGGCCAAGACTCCTGGCGTCTTTCACGTTTCAGCAACAACCTTTCAGTGTTCAGCTATTTTTTCTTCTATAAGGTGGACATTTTAAAGGAAATCTGACGACGAGCATGCTGACTCCGCAGTGGCATGCGCACCCCACCGCCACTTAAATCCTGCTTGTTACTGTTCAGTCCTCAGTCGTGTCCCACTCTTTTCAGCCCCATGGACTCTAGCCCGCCAGGCTCCTCTGTCCATAAGATTTCCCAACCAAGAATACTAGAGTGGGTTGCCATTTCCTTCTCCAATATCTCGTTTGCACAGGCACAAAGGCTGATGTGCAAGGATGCTCACAGCAACACCATTTGTAACAACAAAAGATTCCAAATAACCACCCCTTTAAAGGGTGCTGACTGCAGTATATTTACAGTCAAAGACATAATCATGTCGCATTAAAAGAATGAGGCATTTCTACAGTACTGATATAAACTGATTTCCAAGACAGAGATGTATTAAAAAGCAATATCCAGACCATGAATCTAGTACTAATGCTTTCAAAATAAAGGTGGAGGAGAGGAAGAAAGGGAAATGCACATATGCATGGGCTTGTTTTTGCATATAGTATCCCTGGAAGAACACACACACACACACATGCCTGACAACAAGTAGTTGCCTTTGTATATTCTTTTACACTACTTGGGTGTTTTTAAACCACGTGCACATATTACCTATTCATATAATATCATAATCTCAAATTATTACCCTCCCCCTTTGGTACCAGAGAAAGGTCTTAAAAGAAAAGGATGAAGAACTCTAACGTCCTAATGAGGAAGTTGGAGCTGGGGGGAGCAGTGGCTCCTTGTGGGCACAGGAAATGTGTAGGAAGGCACCAGGGAAGTCGCTGCAGTGCTAAGTTAAGGAGAATAGGGAGCTGGGTGCTGGGGAGCTCTAGGGTCTGGACAGGGAGGTCCAGTGAGGACCAGTCAGCTCTAGAGTCAGGCGGTGAGGTCACCTGCTGCCAGAGAAGGGGACACATGGTGGGCCATGGAGCTTGAAGAGGGTAGTGATGGTCTGGGACAGCAGGGCGGAGAATGGGAGAGGGGCAGGTGATTAGTGGTGCACAAAAGCGCTGGACAATCTAAAATCCCCGTTTGGGACAAAAAATATGAGTTTGGGGAGAAAGATATTTAACATTCCACTGAAGCTTGGGGACTGGCCAGAAAGGGTCAAAGAATCTGAGGCGCTAGTGAGTAATTA